ACAGAATAAATACTAATCACTCGAAGTTTTGCAAAAAAAAGGATACCCTCAAGCAAGACAAAAAAAGTACAAAAATTGGGTTGAATTTGTCGTTAATTCACACAAAACAGCAAAGTTAATTTCTTTAACAAATTTTTTAGGCCTGGCCTCTACTCACAATCTGAGGATCGGGGGTTCGATTCCCATCCCACCAAACATGCTCACCCTTTCAGCCATGGGAGCATTATAATGTGACGGTCAATTCCATTATTCGTTGGTAGTTGAGTAGCCCAAGAGTTGGCGGTGGGTGGTGATGACTAGCTGCCTTCTCTCTATTTTTTCACTGCTAAACTAGGGACAGATAGCCCTCATGTAGCTTTGCACGAAATTCATAACAAACCAAACAAACTTTTTAAACACAGCCAATGAATTAGTGGAACAGAGACTTTAGCTGTTACAAGAGCACAGCTCATTGTTCACTTCACTGCTTACTTGTCTAAAATTGACTCAAAGGACTTGCTAAAACACTATATAACTCCAAGTCAGCTTATCAGATGCCAATGTTTATAATTAATTATACTTGTCATAAGGCATTATGTTAGGCCTATTATGTTTTTTAACACAAGCCTGGAGAGCTCTGGATTAAGCAAACACGTCATTGACATTGGATGTAATGAATATAGTGTGGTTGAAATACTATTATTATACACTCTTCTAATTCTTGTAAATCTCCAAGGGACCAGATTATGAACATACTGTTAAAAAGAATATAATAGGCTTAACATAACACCTTATAACAATTATAATTATAATCATTCTTCACCAGCTTGTAAAAGGCCTTCACATCACAATAATTTCGATCGAGCATGAAATTGCCCAGAAATTGGACTTCACGAGTTTACCTCAGTGAAAGTAAGAAAAGTAAATTTCCCGTAATTGTAAAATTTTGAACCAGCACAGTGGTCACATGTGAACTGTCACTGTAACATTTCTTTAGTCACTTTGCTTCACTCATTCAAGCAGCACTGATGATCTGTGATTTTAGCAAAACTAATCTGTTGCAGTGGAAGTAGCAAATCAAAGTGTAGATTTAGGCTTCTACTCAACATTTCTTCGTGAAATTCACATTTTAGTGAGGAAAAGAAATGATCAAATAAATAGTGTCGAATCATTTGTGTTGGTCACTAGACAACTGTGTGATTGACTTGCGTGAAATTGAATGCATGATTCGAAATTTCTGCCAATAGTAATAAGAGAGAATATTCATGTTAGGATCAAATAATGGAATGACTTCTTTCAGTTACTGCTCATCATTTGTAGAATTCACTGTTGTAACTGCTTTGAAAGGAATAAAAAAAAATTAGTGTACGTTGTTTGTGTTGGAAAGTTGCTTAATTGCAATTTGCCTACTTTAATTAAAATACAAGTTTCAGATGTATTAACAGATTTATGTAGTTACACCTTGATTAGGCTTTAAAAATGTTGATGTTAATCAGCTTAACATTAGGTGTTTTACATGTATATTCTTGTTTTAAGTTGGTAACGTTAATGATTAATAAGAACCTTATTAATAACACTGCAACATTGTCTATAAAAATAATTTTATAACTTTGAATCTTCAGGCTCTAAGTGACTCACAAGTCTAGTCAGTAATATGATGATGTTTGTATCTGTATAAAAGTCCTTAGATTTTTATAATTCATCAACATCATTAATTGTTGTTATTATTATTATTATTATGAATATTTTGTTTTTGATTTTTTTCACTATATATATATATATATATAT